TTTTTATTTCTTTTTTTTTTATAAGTAATCTATAAAATTATAAAAAAAATTATGCAACAAAGACGAGCGCCGTCGTATTTTTTTTCTCACCACTAACGTTATTTCCGTTCGATACTTTCTCGTTCGCAACTTTGCCGGGCGAAGAAAAATGGGGATCGGATCGGAAAAATTTTAAATTAAAGTCGTGACGAATTTTTTTTGACGGATGATTCGCGCGATTTTTTATTTCTTTTTTTTATAAGTAATCTATAAAATTATAAAAAAAATTATGCAACAAAGACGACCGTCGTCGTATTTTTTTTCTCACCCCTAACGTTATTTCCGTTCGATACTTTCCCGTTCGTGACTTTACCGGGCGAAGAAAAATGGGGATCGGATCGGAAAAGACAAGAGGAGGAAATATCTGCAGAGGGCGAAAGTCAACGGACATGAATTTATTGCATCCAGACGAGGCGAAATCGGTCGAAGGGAGTGGACGATAGAGGAGCAATTCTGGGGGATAAAAGGGGGCTGGTGCGTCGCTTATTATACTTATTATTTATCATCCTTCATAAATAGATCTCCTCTCCGGGTGAGGATGCTTCGAATAGCCAGATAAAGGACGGGATAGTGATTTATAGGGGTCTCGAATTAGTGTCACTCACATATGGCCTTTTTTTTCGCGAATTAATCCGGATACGTGATAATATACCGTATTTTCGGAGATCAATCAATCGGAATTATATGATCGCTCTATAAATCGATTATTTAGTCGTCAAATATAGTTTCTCTATACATTTTCGTCGACAATATTTTTGGGAATGAAATTTTCGGATTTTATTCCAGATTCTTCTCTTTTATTTATTCGATGAGTGTGCATTTTTTAGAATTTTTTGAAAATATTTATTATCTCGAATTATGACTTGAGTTGATTTTTAAGAGGAATTTTTTGACAGCTTTGATGACGTTTATAATTTTAAGTTTTGTATAATAATATTATAAAAAATGAATTTTATTTCAGATTCTTCTCTTTTATTTATTCTATGATGGTGCATTTTTGGAAAATATTTTATCTCGAATTACTACTTATTGATTTTCCAGGAATTTTTTGACAGCACCGATGACGTTTATAATTTTAAGTTTTGTAATATAAAAAATGAATTTTATTTCAGATTCTTCTCTTTTATTTATTCTATGATGGTGCATTTTTGGAAAATATTTTATCTCGAATTACAACTTATTGATTTTTCCAGAGGAATTTTTGACAGCACTGATGACGTTTATAATTTTAAGTTTTATAATATAAAAAATGAATCATAATTATTGCAAAAGACAGTTTATCAATTTTAATATGTCACAATATATAATTTTGATAATTTATAGAATTACATATCTCTAAATTGTAAACGACGTTTAAAAAATGTAATTGTTAGCTAGACAGTTTATCAATTTGAGTCGGCGCAAAAGTCACAATATGACGGAGGAATAATAATTGCCTCGCATAGATATCTGAAGCTAATCCAACTTGGAATCTACTAGAATGGCATACTAATTCGGGTACTTTTAGACTCGCATGACCTGGAAGTAAAACAGACGGATGGAATCGAGAATCCATTAGTGACCGATTGAAATTCCGATCTAGTTCGCTTAAGAGCGAAGTACTTAAATACTTTTATGCGAGCGACGAACATCTTTCGCCGTTATTATAGTTTCGTAAGAGTCCATTACCACGTCGGTGGTTATGAGATTAAAAATTTTCCAGCTTGGAAGGCTTTCGCGTTGCACGAAAAGCTGTAGAATTGCGGGATTACTCAAATCAAATTTGTCTCTAGTGAACATTTACGACAAGGATCTTCTTTTTTCTTTGTTATCACAATAAAAATCAAATGACGCGAGCAAACTTTATTTTTTATAATTAATTATAAGAATAAAATTTATGATCAAATTTCCGATTGAATAATGTATATAATTTATGGTATAAAATTTATAATAATTAAAAAAGTAATAGTATATAACGCAATATTTTTTTAAATATAATTCATTGATTTTCGAATTAAATATCGACTGATATTATATTACAGAGTAAGTTAGCGAAAAATAAAACTATAAGAATGAAATTAATTTTTTTTTTCTTTTAGATCGAATGCAATCGTTATTAATTAACAGTTTCTTGCGTTGAAGTTGCGGCGAATCTCGTAAAATCGGAAATTAGGGGGCCATGTCGGTGGGTGGGCGATAGCCCAGGTATTTAAATGGATTCAATTTGGATCGGTGCCAGGCAGACTCGTGCCAACCCGTCGAAAGATGCTCGTAAAAGATGAAACTCTCGACTCGTCATCGGACGAATTAATCGCCATTCGACAATTAATCTCGGCGAATCGAGTCGCTATTAAAGAAATCTCGCGATGCGATAGATCTGATTTGAGAATGATGAAGATTCGTGTCGGACTCAACTCTTCTTCCTACATTATGTTATTGTATAAAGCAATATTTTTATTATTAATTAATTTTTATCTTATTATCTTAATTAATCTTTGATTAATTCTTTCAATTTTTTATTTATTTAATTTTATATTTTATTATATTAATTTTTGTATCTCATTATAATATAAAAAACATAATTGGTGTTATATATTTAATTAGTTTGTTTTGTTGCATAAAGCGATATCTTTATTATTAATTGATTTTTAATTAATTTATTCAATTTTTTATTTTGCATTATTATTTTACATATTTAATTTTTGAGTAATTCATTCAATTCTTTATTTATTTAATTTTATATTTTACATTATTCGTTTTTGTATCTCATTATAATATAAAAAACAATTGGTGTCTCATATTTAATTAGTTTGTTTTTTAGTGTAAAGCGATATCTTTATTATTAATTAATATTTGATTAATTTATTCAATTTTTTATTTTACATTATTAATTTTTATATCTCATTAATATAAAAAACATTGGTATCATATTTAATTAGTTCCAAACAAACTATTATTTTTTATAAGAAGGAGAGTATTGAAAAATAATGTTTCGTAAAAACATTGTTTCTAGAACTCACTTTTTATTTAATTTATTTCCCTGGATTTGTTTAATTTTTTTGACTCATTGCTGAAATTTTTCTTTCCTTTACAGAACAAAGCGTCCCTCGTCCGAGTATTACCACTATACTCTGGAGAATTTGTCGTCATAAATATTTCAAGCGGCGTCGTTTTGACTTAGGAATGTCGTCCGCGTCGCGTTTCCGCGGACGGGCGACGACATTCTTCGACGTGACTTCCGAAATTTCGTCGGCATTCCCGGCATTCGGGAAAACGTGGCCGCACGCGTGACACGTGTCGCACGCACGTCGACTGCCGAATAAAACCATTTGTCAAATTGCGTTCCACCGAAGGGAGAGGGCGCCCCGAATTTCTTGACGCTCCAATCGCGGGAATCGACAGCTCGCTCGAACCAGAAGTGATGTCCAAAGATGTAGGGTGGATAAGAATGAGAGCAAAATATTTTATATGTATAAAGGAAAGGGAGAGGCCGACACATTTTTGAGAAAAAAAATAATGCTGGATATTTCTTGTGAAAAATATTCTAAAAATGTTTTTTTTCTTTAATGTCAATATTTTTCCAGCTAAAAAAATTCATTCCATTCTTAATTTTATTTTTGTCTAACTTACTCTATAATATTAATCGAGATTTAATTCGAAAATTAATGAATTATATTTTTCAAAAATATAATTTATTGACATTATAGACAAAAAATATCTTTAGAATATTTTTCACAAGAAATATTGTCTATGTAAAGATCACATCTATTAAATAATGAATAATGGATGCATTAAATAACTCAAATAAATTAAGTAGAACGAAAAAAATAAATAAGACATATATCGTATTAACTGGACTTGAACTTAAAAATTGGCAATTTAAGTTGAATTTAGAATTGGGAAGAGATATTTTTTATCGATCTTAGAAATCGAAGGACGCGAATCTTTTTCTTTCTCTCGGGATTTTTTAATCAAATTAGTAAAAATGAAATATCGATGTTCCCTCTCGATATCATATCTCTGCGTCGATTCCGAGCGGCAGAAGCGCTTTTCCAGGTCAAACGAGACAGGAAACACCGCGGGCGGTTTTCGCAATTAGCGAGTTTAACGCGTTCCACTCGTACGAGAGGTTTTTCGGTTGCGCTTCCAGCGCATCGACATATCAAACGCCGTTACCAGATGTTTTTCGCATTGTTTTCAATATTTTTTCGCCTGACTTCCTCGAGATGACGCAAATATTGCTCATAAGAGTAATCCATGCAAAATAATTTATTTTATCTCTTTATATTTCTAGGCGAATTTTAATATTCCTATTATATACATAAGAAGTATTTCTTATTTACTAAAGAAAAATATTTTTTATTTTTAATATTCGTCGATCTCGACTTTTTATATTAATATTATCATATTTTTTAATACTATTTTTCTCAAGGATTTTATGGTTAATTATTTTGCAGATGTCCTGACAGTGGACCGTGTAAAATAATTAATTTTATCTCTTAATAATTCTAGGAGAATGTCATGTATATAATAAGAAATATTTTATTCTAATATTCGTCAATTTTCAAATTTTTTTATGTTTATCACGATTAATTAATATAATTTTTCTCAAGGATTTTATAGTTAATTATTTTGCAGATGTCCTGACAGTAAACCATGTAAAGTAATTAATTTGATCTCTTAATATTTCTAGGAGAATGTCATGTACACGATAAGAAACATTTTTTCTAATATTCGTGAATTTTCGAATTTTGTCATGTTCGTCAGGATTAATATAATTTTTCTCAAAAATTTTATGGTAAATTATTTTGCAGATGTCCTGACAGTAAACCATGTAAAGTAATTAATTTGATCTCTTAATATTTCTAGGAGAATGTCATGTACATGACATAAGAAACATTTTCTTCTAATATTCGTGAATTTTCGAATGTTGCCACGTTCATCAGGATTAATATAATTCTGGATGGTAAATGATTTTGCAGATGTCCTGACAGTGGGCCCCGGGCCACCAGGATGCCGACAGACGACGACTATGGCCGAAGAGATCGTCTCCTGTTGCACCAGCACCCTATCGCTCAGTACGGATCCTCGTCAGCTCCGCTTCCCGGATCGAGCGCGCCGAATTCCGGTGGCGTGGGGACCCAGATCGGTCCCAACAATCCCAGCGACTGCTTCACGAAGCTACAAGCGGAGCAGCAGCAGCAGCAATCGTCCGACTTGCGTTCGGTGGCGAGCACCGCGAGCCAGTCGGGCCAAGAGCGTTACCAGTCGGATCAACAGACCCAAAGCAGCGAGCATGTCGGGAGCCGAATGGTCGATCGGCACGAGAAATCCGCGGAGAAGCCTACGATCGACTTCTCCAAGTGCGGTGAGGGTCGTTCGTCGGGTTGCGAGCGCTTCGGGCATTACCAGGCTCCGAGCGGTGGCGAGCATGTGGGGAACCGAATCGGTAGTGAACGGCACGAGAAGGCCGTGGACAAGTCTTGCATCGATTATCCCAAGTGCGGAGAGACCGGTCGTCCCTCGAGTTGCGAGCGTTTCGGACATTATCAGACCTCGACGTTCGGCCAGTCCTCGAGCTTGCACTACGGCGCGCATTCTAACGCCGATCGTTTCGCGCGATTCAACGATCTCAGCGCGTTGCACGGCGAGCAACGGGTGGTCTCCGCTGGCGATCGCTACTCCATCTGCAACTCGGAGCTGCACTTCGATCCCACGGGCTCGAGCGGCTCGGGCGAGTACGCGAACGCGAACGCGCTCGTCGGCTCCTTCGCCTCGGAGACGTTCCCGTCGCCGCCGTCGCCGGCACCGGCCAACGATCGCTTTGTCCCGCCACCGCCACTGTCGCCCAGTCCGAGCGAGAAGTACGCCTCGAGCCAGAGCCTGGCTGGTTACCCTGCTGCTGATCGCATTTTGCCCCCCAATTCTCCGGGGCCCAAGTATGGCGCCGACGGCGCCTCTTCAGCATCGCCGATGCCCGCCAAGGAGCGCTTCGCCTCCACCGAGCGGCTGTTGGCCACTCAGCAGTCAGCCAGCGGCGACCCCAAGGATCAGCAACGCTACCCTGGATCATCGTCCGATCATCGTCTGCTCTCGGGCTCCTCCCCGGTTCTGGAGGGACTTCAGACGGGACTTCAGAGCGGCGGAGGAGGCGTCTACGCCAAGGACACTCGCTACGCCGCTATTTCCGCGGACAGGATACTGTCCTCCTCGCCGATACACGCTCCGGTACCGGAGAGATTCAAATCGGAAAGGTACTTGGCCGAGTCGCCCGTTCACGATAGATATCCTCGACAGGATCCATCAGCGACAGCACATCACGAGCGGTATTCGGCGATTGCGGCGGCCACCGAGAGGTGAGTCCATCATCTGTCAACTTGCCAGAGTTTATTCATTTATTTGAGACTTCTTACTTCATACATTATTGTATCCCTGTTACTTGCGAGTAGTTATGATACTTTTAATATTTTATTAGTCTCTCTTTATCCGTTTAATATACCTGACTGATGTCTATTAGACACTATTCTTTTAAAACATTTTTGAATTTTAATCATTCTGTTCTTTCTTTTTACAAGTACGTATTAATCTCATCTACCTTTAGAACATTAATAGCAAAATCATTTATGTTACTGAATCTCCTTTTTGTATAGTTGTATTACTAGGACTAAAAATATAGTCGAAACGTGATTTGAAGTAATAAAGAAAATTGCCAGTTTGGTCGAGAGAAAGGTGTTTAAATTTATTCTTCATTCTGACTGGCGAGACTTGAAGAGTGACACGGTTAATTAATTTAATATTTTAATTTATTTTCTGTAGTATTGTTCACTTGATAAGGACCACAATCACATGGTCGATTATTGAATTCTTCTTATTGCTTCATATTTTTCGTTTGACGTGTCCGCAGGTTCCTCTCGAATTCGCCTAATCCTGAGAGCGCGCATCAGCGCTATTCATCGTCAGAGCGCGCGTCTCTTCAAGCCTCTTCCAGCAGTTCCGAGCAAAATCGGCGCCTCTACACTGACAGAGGCGTCGAGACAGTTTGTCAGAAGTATACGGATCGATCGATCGGCTCGCCGGCGTCCACCGATTTCGGCAGATACTCTGGCTTCTCGGAAGTCGGCAATCAGACGCGATCGTACGTGTCCAGCAACGATCGCTTCAACGATCTCGCTCTGCAGCGCTGCAGCCAATCGCGCTCGATCGACAGATTCTCCAGCGACCGATACCTGGCTGGATCGTCGCCCGCGCACGACGGCAGGCTGTCCGGTTCCGAGGCGTCGCGATACCTCGTCTCCTCCACTGAACGTCTGCTGGCGCCGACGTCTTCCTCGCCGTCCTCCTCTTCAGAGACTGGTGAGTGCGCTCAAATTCTAGAAATATCAGTTAAAAACCCTGTTTTCATGGTAAATAACGACATGTATTGAAATCAGGGTATTTTTCATCAACAGAATTCTTGCTTCAGTGCTTCTATTTAACGACAGATAGATAAATTGAATAGAATAATCAATGTATATTGTGTCTCTGCCAATTTCCATATTTAATTTTTTGTTGTATCGAAATATCTGTAATTGAAAGATGTTATCGCGCGATGTTTCTCTTTCGAGCTTTTTATTTCACGATTCACAAGCGATATGATTCTCTGTTTGACGCTCAGGCACCAGGTACCACTCGCCCTACACGACGTCCACCGGCACTCAATCATCGGCTTCCAACGAACGTTTCCCGTCAATTTCACCAACGCCCGAAGCGTCGTCGAACGTTCACCGCAGCAATGGCGGCAACAACGGCTATCAAAACACGAAGAGCACCGTCGACAAGTATCTGGTTTCGAAATCTGTTCAAAGCGGCTATGATCGCTATTCGGTCGGCAGCCAGAACGATCATCAGTTTGGTCAAGATCGATACTTTGCCTCCGGCGGCAACGGCGACCGTTTTCAAGCTACATCCGGAGCTGAGCGTTTTCACGCTTCTGCTGATCGCTATTCACCGGCGCGCAGCGTCACCGACAAATATCTGTCTCTGCCGAAGCCCAAGGACAGGTACACCGGCCGTATAACGCCCATTTCTTGCGCCACTTCCGTCGTAGCGACCTCCTCGACCGATCGCGCTTACGGTTCGTCGAGCGCGAGCTACGTGCCACCAACTGCGCATACCCCTGTTGAACGATATGTACCACAGCCGCCGCCCGAAGTGCTCTACCCGGACAGGTAAAGGGACAAACACAATAAGGAATTTCATTCCTACTCCTTCCCTTAACTCTCATTTTATTACAATCAGAGTTCATTTGAGAACATTAGCTGATTTGTTGAACGGAAAATTCATTTTTTTATTCCAATTTTATGTAAAGTGTGAGGTTTTTGTAAGGAAAATTGTTTGATTTTTTAGTATTTTTAATTTCAATTTCATAGTAAATTAGTGTGAGGTTTCTTTGTAAGGAATTGTTTGAATTTTTAGTATTTTTAATTCCAATTTTATAGTAAATTAGTGTGAGGTTTCTTTGTAAGGAATTGTTAAAATTTTCCTTACAATAAAATTGGAATTGTTCATTTGAGAACATCAGCTGATTTGTTGAAAGGAAAATTAATTTTTTCATTCCAATTTTATGTAAATTAGTGTGAGGTTCTTTGAAGGAAAATTGTTCGAATTTTTAGTATTTTTAATTCCAATTTCGTATAAAATTAGTGTGAGGTTTCTTTGTAAGAAATTGTTAGAAATTTCCTTACAATGAAATTGGAATTAGAGTTCATCCGAGAACATCAGCTGATTTGTTGAAAATTGATTTTTTAATTTCAATTTTATGTAAAATTAGTGTGAGGTTTTTTGTAAGGAATTGTTCGAATTTTCCTTGCAATGAAATTGGAATTAAAAAATTAAACAATTTCTTGTTCAGCAAATCAGCTGATTTTCTCAGGATCCAACTTCACATAAGATTAGCGCGGAATTCTTGATCAGGATCGTGCTATATAAATGCCAATTGTTTTTCCACCGCAAAATCTTGTACTTCCTATCAACAGTACCGCCTTCCGCGAATTTTCTGTTGAACCATAAGTCTGAAATTTTCCTGTTTGTCTAGGTATGTGGACAGGTACGTGCCACCCGCGGCGCACACGCCGACCGATCGATACGTGCCCGCGAGCGATCCAGGCGATCCATACATGCGTCGGGACCTTGGCTTTCATCATCATTACCGGCTACCGCCGCCCGCCGGTTTTCCATACCAAACGCCGCACTTCCGGTTCCGCGGCTTCGCGTACGCGACGTCCGCGGGCGGCCGGCACGGCGGCAGCCCCGGCTCCAGCAGCTCCAGCAGCACGGCGTCCAATCAGAGAGAGACCTTCGTCACGTCGCCGCTGCTGAGGCCCAAGGCTCGCGCGTCCGCGGTCGAGTTCGGCGCCGCCACTTCCGCCGCCGCGACGCCGACGACGACGGCCGGCCGTCACGTGTGCGCGAACCCGGCCGCCTGTTGCGGAGACGCGTCAGCCAACGGAAGAGGCTGCTGCCAGATGAGGAGGTCCCTGCCGCCCGGGACCCTTCCGCCGATACCCACCCAGACTTCTTCATGGTGAGTACTTTTATTTGCTTTATTCGAGGCGGAATGATTTATTGCGAAATTAAAGTGCGGTAATAATTATCAAAATACAAATATATAAATTGACGGGTAATTATATACGCATATTCCACAAGATTATTTATCTTCATTTATGCATTTTAAAATGCATGAGATGTTGTATGTATATTTATCTACAATGTTTCTATGACGTTTGTTAAACGTGAATATTATGCAAGCTGCTTTTATTATAATGATAATTATGAAAATATGCTTTTAAAGAGACGGAGCAATTTATAAAACTTAATAATGCAGGATACATTTATTTCTTCATTTATTATTATTGCTTTACATTTTATATTCCCGACTATCGTTGTTAGAAAAGCATTTTTATCTTTCAGTTTTTTCCTTGTTTTATTCATATAATTCTCGTAAATCCATGATTGCCCTCTTTTAAGAGGCATAAAATAAAAATTAATACAAGTCGATATTTCGAAATGCGCGCACAGATATTTTTCTAAAAAAATTATATAAAAAGCTTTTTTTGAGATAAACTTTACGAAATAAAAATACAAATTTCTTCATCTAAATAATTAAATAAACAAATCTTGAAATAATGTTGAAATAGACAATCATATTTATTAATACAAAAATATGAATTCTATTATAAATATCTGATGAAGTATTTCAAGTGTACTCTAAAATAAAAGCATTGAAATATCTCAAATGCTTTTTATTATTCAGCGATGCAAAAGCTTTTTGCTACTAGAGATAAACAAGCAATTAATTTCACAATTAATAAATAATAATAAATTGAATAAGAGTACATTGGTCCATGAATTGCTCCACTCGTTCGATGCTACTTGCTGCTTCTTCTTCTCTTGTTTATCTTTTGCGCAGCTGTCACTCGACACTCACTCGCGAGAATAATGCGGTTAATTATGAATTCGTGCTAATCAACAGAATGCAACGATCGCTCGGCACTTTGCATAGCACTATATCAACGTTAAACTTTATTATACCGCGACTGGAGAACAATGCGAGTACTACGATTCTCTCGGAAATCTGCGGTCTTACAATTCTGTATCTCTGTTGCTGATAAACAATGTAAAGAGAGAGGCAGAAAGAGAAATTTATTAGTTTGAAAAGAAACGGAATATTCTAAATATACACTTATTTTTGATTGTATTAAATATTATTTCTAATTGTATTATAAATATTTAAGACAAAGAAAAAATCCTCAAACATTCAAATGTCAAAATCAGCTGATTTCTCGCAGAATTTTCTCTCTCATATGATATTATAGATGTCATAGGAATTTATTACTTCGAAAAGAAACAATATTTTAAATATATTTTATTTTTGATTGTATCAAATATTTAAGGCAAGGAAAAAATCCTCAAATATTTAAATGTCAAAATCAGCTGATTTCTCGCAGAATTTTCTCTCTCATATGATATTATAGATGTCATAGGAATTTATTACTTCGAAAAGAAACAATATTCTAAATATATATTTATTTTTGATTGTATCAAATATTTAAGGCAAGGAAAAAATCCTCAAATATTCAAATGTCAAAATCAGCTGATTTTTCGCAGAATTTTCTCTCCTTCTCTCTCTCTCATATGATATTCATTCGGCTCTCGTTCCTGCGGTGTAATAACAATATAGCGCCCTTGTTTGCATACCGTATCCTTATATCGATGTATGCTTATCCGATGTTAGTCGTGCGACGAAGCTCGAGATAGCAAGTATAGTATTAGCTATGTCTTTGTTATTATCCTTCGAAATGCGATTATTTGTCATAAATCGTGATTATAAGTTTTGGCGCGGTTGATTGAACTCTCTCGATAAATGTATTTTATATTAACAGTTTCGTGTTATGACACAATATACATGCATAGAAATGTAAAAGTTAAAATTACACATAACTATATAGCGTGCATACAGAAAATTGCAATATTCGAAAAAAAAATTATATAATTAGATTTGTTAACTTTTCGCACGGACAGATTTCGATCAAATTAAACTCGTGATTAAAATCGGTGAAAAATTCAAAGCGCGAAAGGCAAAATATAATCTATTGCGATCGTATTTGAAGAAATAATTGTTATATCCGCACATAAAATCTCGCAGATATATAAAACAATTTATAATTACTGTCACACTTTGATTCTTAGTTCGAGTGAATATATCCGCTTCGATAAATAATTGTCGCTTCAATACGAGCGGATTTATGACTATAGGCTAACGAGAGTCATTTAATCGCAAGTATTTATTAGGCAATGATTATTTACGAAAACAATGATGATGAATTTATATCTCGCGTATTTATTTTACGCAGAAATCAACTCTCTCTCTCTCTCTCTCTTTCGATGGAAATCACAAATTATTGTGATTTCATCGAGATCTTTACGCGGGCGATAATTATTATTTCTTTCAATATGCCTGGATTATAAAATATATTTCGAGCTTTGAATTTTTCACCGATGTAATTTGCTAGTTATTATCGGATTGAGAACGCGTGCGATTATTAATATAATTTAAAAAAAAAGGGACATATTTCGCGCATATTTTTTATTTTTATTATATTAATTATTTCGGACAAGCAATTAATTATTTATATTCGGGGCTCATTCTGGGAATAACAGCGCGCTGTTGTTACGTCAACGCGTCGATATATCGATTTATCGATATTTCGATATATCGATTTATCAATATTTCGATATATCGATATATCGATTTATCGGTATACTTATATATCAAATCCTTATTTATTATATTTCAAGTAAAGAATGATTCGTTCATGTATAAATTTGACGTGAATTTTCTTTCTCGCTCCGTAACAATTAACAGTAACAAATAATAACTTTGTTATAGACTCGTATCGATGCGTCTTTATACGCGTCACTTCCGTAACCCGTCAGTCGTGCTGCGAGACTCGAACGAGCCGGTCGCGAATCGCGATATTATCCATTCAAAACACCGATTATTCGCCTAATATTAATTATCAGTTCGCGCATCGTGATTAAATCGCGCGATAAACGACACAGGTAATCGCGACGACGAGGCTGTCTGATCGAAGTAACGAAACGGTATGACGTATCGATTTGTTCTGCAATGTATACCTAACCCGTACACGTGTATCTCGCGCGTCGAAAATATCTCGTGCTCGCGATATCGAATTTCGATTATATACATTTTCTGACAGTTCGTATCGCGTCATAGTCATTAATTCTTCTAATATCGGAGCAGAATCGACGCGTTTCTCTCGATCAATAATAATAATAATAATAATAACAATAATAATAATAATAAATAAAAACGTTGCGGTTATGATATGGATCGATTTGTGGAACAACATCGCGTTTAATTATAATAAGTAATATAGTATCGTTGTAATTCGTAAAAACGAATATCGAGTTTTTTTATTCCATCGATATCTGTAAATTTAATTATCATTACATATTTTTGAGCGTGACGAAATCAGCCAGCATTTACTTTATTTTACCGTGAAATAAAATAATCTAGCTTCTCGCATTCTTCGATTGTCATTAAATTAAGTGCGATTCATGTCTGGAAATGTCTCTGCAAAGTGTCACGTGATTGTTGTATATTCTGCTGATTAATTTGCGCATGCGATCATAATTAATTGCGAATGAGTGTCAAGTGTCATGAAGTAACAATAACAACAAAGTAAACGAGAGAGGAAGAGGAGGAGGCTTGAACAATTGGTGGAATCAATTAACAAGGCAAGATATTTATTTAATTTGTTATTTATAAATTGTCAAATTAATTGTGTTTATTTATTTCCCCGTCATGCGATATATTTTATACATTACTGTATATGTAAAATTTTTTTTAGATTTTGTTTTGCAAACTTGATTAATTATCATAAATGTGTAACATTTACGATAAATAATACTAATAATAATAATAATAATAATAATAATAATAATAATAATAATAATAATAATAATTAATTATTAATACTATAATAATAATAGAGAGAATTTTCTCTTAAAATTTATCCTGAAAATTATGCTAATTGTGGGACAACTTGATATTGGAAGACTTTTATTAGAGAGTTTCTCTAATTTTAATATTTACACCACAATAAAAAATATGAATATTTACAATGAGATATAAAATATGTCATAGTAAAATTTGCTATACATATAATTAATATTTTTTATTGTGATAAATATTAATTAAAGAAACTCTTATAAAATTCTTCCAATACCATATTAGAGTTACATTAATATTTAGATTATTGATACAATAATGACATTTATGCGCAATAAATTAATTTTTATTTTATGATCTTGAGGAGTAATGCATTTTTGGGAATTCATTAAAATATGGAAATATGTACAATAAGGAATAGCCAAAAAAAGCGACTAAAAATAAGTTTTTTTAAACGTGATTATATAAAAATGTTAAAACATCCGAATTCTAATTTTTTTTTTTTCGAAGGTATATTAAATACGAAAGATTTACATCTTCCTAGCTATAAAATAGCTATAAAAATTTACAAAAATTATAAAACTGAAAATACAAGAAATATAAAAAAAGCCAAAATATAAATATAATTTTTTTAAACATGATTATATGAAAATTCAAATTCAAATTCAAATAGTTTTAAAGCATTCATATCTCAATTTTCTTTTTTTTCTCGAAAACTGTACGGTATACAAAATTTCAGAGCACCGAAGGATTACCCTCGTATCTTTCGATAGTTATGAATTGCGATGTATATTGCGCGTGTAATCGCCAGAGCCGAGAGAAAAAAGCAAATCGTTGATTAGGGCGAGCTTAAGAACAGGCGAAAGCCCATAGTATGTGTGTTGAGAGCTTGCTCGTGTAACGGGGAGATTATAGAGGGTGATGGGGGGAGGAGGGGGAGAATGGCTTCCGCAATATGCACATGCTCTCGCGTAATAATGCGCCTGTATATAATAGAGCTCACGAATTAGAATGGAAGAGCCCCTTAATTGAGGGATAAATATTATTTA